CGTAGCATCTGGCTGGGGGATGAGGGAAAGAAGGGTGATGGGAAATGGAGTGCTGGGTGTTTTGTAGCTTTTTGGTGTTTTGTATTTGAGGGGGGGGGAAATATAGCATGCAAATTGGACTTTTTCCTGTGTATGGTTGTGTTTTGTGGGTGGGGATGCTTTCAAAACAGTGGTGGGGGCTGGGAACATGTGTGAAAACTGTACAAGGTGAATGCTTGTGTTAACTGTGTTTAGTGCAGACTCCTCAGAGTCTGAGAAGTCCCCCCCCAGGAGTCCCCCACCCCAGCCTGCCAGTTTCCACCCTCCCTTGCAAGCCCCAGAGAGAAAAAAGCAGTAGGGAAGGCTGGTTTGCAGTGAAGAAAAAAAGTGTATCCATTTTAAATAGTCAAAGCATGAGTAGAGAGTCAGTTCCTCCACCCTGGTTCCCAGACAGCCAATTTCCACGCTCCCCTTTGCAAGCCCCACAGAGCAAAAGCATTGCCCCTTTGGGAGAGGTCCTGCTTTTGCCAGGAACAGATAACAAAAGCATAAGGATGAGAATTTCTAAAGCATGCTCTCTCTCTCTTTCTGCAAACCTCCCTCCCCCTCCCTCCCCATAGAAGAAAACTTGAAACACACACATGGGAGAGAGTCTTATATTCAAGCAGTTTCCCTGACAGACAAATCTCCCCTTCCCCCCACAAAGGAAAAAACTTGAAAAACACACACACACACACACACACACACACACACACATAGGAGAGAGACCAAAAGGCAGGGAAGGGGGGGTGACTTTCCCAGCTCCTTGCTTGAAAACAGAGAGACATCCCCCCAGTCCCTTCAAAAGCAACCAGCTTTTTACATGCCAGCACAGTTTAAGCATTCAGCATGCAAGCAACAGTTTTAACCCATAGAAAGCAGAGTTAGTTTGTGGACTTCCGGTTTTCGGTGCAGCGAAGGCAGACAGCCCTGGGAGAGCTCCCTTGAAGCCGCCTGGATCACCAGGTTTGGAGGGGATTTAAACTCCTTCAGAGCCCTCATGGACCTTCCTGTAGAGGGGACCAAGCAAGGAGCTTGATCTTGGACTCTCTGTGAGTGGCGGCAAGTGGATTGAGTTCGAGATCGCCCTGAAGCCCAAACCTGTGCGAGAGCATGTATGGACTCCATAGCTGAGGAGCCATTTTATTAAACCCCACTTGGAATTATAATTTGCCTTTATTTGGATTATAACTTGGCTATTCATGAAGATATTTTAAAGGATTATATATTTACATGAAGTTACCTTAAAGGATTATAAATTTTATAATCATTTATTTGGATTACAAATTAAAGAGAAGGAACAAAGAAGAAAGGAGGAACCTGTAAATTGACTGGAACTTACTTTCACTTTCCATACATCTTTTACACAGTGGTTATGTTTTTAACTTGGAACTGTTATGTCTTTGCATGTTGTTATTACAAAGCACGATCTGTTCTTGAGAGAAATGTAAACTGTTGAAAATTTCTTTGGAGCTATACTGAGAGTATTTGTAAGAAATAAAAAAGAGAGGTTAAACTTAAGATATTGACTGAGAGGGGACCTGTGAATATTAACAGATTCTTCGGTTTTCATGGTGTTTAATTTACAGTAATTTAAAATATAGTAAATAATATTGTTAACAACATGATGGCTTAAAAAATTAAACCTCCTTCTGGTCCTTCTCCTGGCCAACCTAAGTCAGTAACTGCCAGTTTGACACAGATTTCAGCAAAGGAATTACACATCTTAATACAAGAAGCTGTGACAACAGCTGTTAGTCCCATGCAAGTTCAACTAGATACACTGTCACAACAAATGGTACACCAGATGAGAAAAGTACAAAACCAGCTCAAAGAAAATAGACAAGAAATTTCTTCCTTGGCACAAACTGTTAATCAAATGAAGGACAAATCTGAAAAGGTGAAACTTAAAATAAAAACAGTGGAATCTAAGCAAAATTCCATGGAAGAAGGTTTTATTAAATTAGAGATTGATAAAGCAGCATATATTTTAAGATTTCAAAATATTCCAGAAAAATAAGATGAGCAGCTGAAATTTGAAATGGCACAGATATTGGCTGAGTATATGGAGGCAGAAAACACAGATGAACTATATAATGAAATTGATGTTGCTTATAGAATGAATTTGGCATATGCAAGGAGAAATGAGATTCCATGAAAGGTCAATAAGAGATGAAATTCTGAAAGAAACAAATGAAACCCCCTTACAAATAGAAGAAACAGAAATTAAGATTTTAAAGGAAATTCCATGGAGAGTGAGAGAGAAGAGAATATATGAAGTTTACAAACATTCTTAGAAGGAATGGAATCGCGTATAGAGGGCTACTTCCAGAAGGTATTTTTCACATAGAGAAAAGATACAAAATCAACTCAATTTTTAAAGCAGAAGAATTTTTAAAAACATATGGTGAAGAACTGGAAGTTGAGGAAGAAGAAACAGAAACTACAGAGGTGGACCAGCGAGAAACACAAGAAGCAACTGGAGGAAATGGAAAAACTACAAAAATTCGAAAAACTGGAAATACCACAACACCCCAGATGGTTACAAGACTTTAACTGAAGAATAAAGATGACAATAAAACTCAAACCAAAGGTGGATAGAAGCAGGGGTCATTTCCTTCGGGAGCGCACAGGAGCAGAGCTCCAGCAGTAAGGAGCCCAGGGGGCGGGCACATGCAACAATCCCCACCCCCTGCTCCCAGCAGCCCTCAGTCAGGCCACGAGGAGCAAGAAGAAACCACGTTTTGCAGAACCCCCCGGCCCGCCTTCAGGTACAAACTCTCCCTCCTCTGTGACGGCAAATCTGCGCATTCCTCCCCCCATAGCTAGCAATCCAAAACAGTCCAGTGGCACCTTTAAGACCAAGTTTTATTCAGGTACAAGCTCTCCCTCCTCTGCGAGGACAGATCTGCACATTCCTCCCCCCAATAGCTAGCAGATTTTTCAACAATTGAACAAGATGCAACTGGATGTGATATGCCTACAAGAGACCCATATAAAATACTCGGACCAAAAATATTTGGCGATAAAAAAACTTGGGGAAAACTTCATTTTTTCAGACAAAGGGAAAAAATAGGTGTAGTGACATATGTTAAAGAACATTTGCATTCAGGATTAGTCTACATCTCTGAAGATGGTAGAATCTTGATAGTTCAAATACAAAGACAAGGTAAAACAACTTTAATTATAAATATATATGCTCCCAACCAACATCAAGGGAAAAAATTATTACAAGAACTTATCTCAAAACAAAACTATGATGAAATGTGCCTGATTGGAGATTACAATGCTGTCTTTGATAAGTTTTTAGAAAGAACAACAATAACTGGAAAACAGAAACAAGATAACAAACTTCCAAACACATTCTTACAATTGACAGAAGAACATAATTTGATTGACTCTTGGAAAACTAGAAATCCAAAAGAGAAGGATTATACCTTTTATTCAGCAAGACATAAGTCATGGTCAAGAATAGATATGTATTGGATATCAGCAACAATTATAAATGACCTAGTAGAAGTACAAATACTGCCAGCAACTTTTGCAGATCACAATCCTCTTATGATAATATTGCAAGATACACCAAAACAAAATAGATGGACACTTGATATGTTTTTACTGAAAAACCCAAAATTGGTATCAGAGGGGGAAAAAAGAATTTCAAATGTTTTCTGAACAGAATATTCAACCAGATATTTCTATTCTAACTGTATGGGATGCATACAGTTAGCTTATTGCAGAGGTTGGATAATTAGAGAAACAGCACGTACAAAAAAAACAGATTTTTTTTTACAAATTACAGAACAAATTAAGATGAAGGAAGAAAATTTAAAATAAGACCCCTCAGCTGAACATTTAAGAGTGAAATTAAAGCTATCACAACACCAAATGAATTGTATCTTGACAGAGGAAATCGCTAAAAAGATTACTTGTGCAAAACAAAATTATTTTGAAAATGCTAAAGGAGAACTATAAAAATCTTAAAAGACAGTGAAGAAGAAAAAAATACACCCAAAGATTTAAAAAAAACAATTGAGACATTTTATAGCAAATTATATCAAAGAAGAGAAGCTACAATAGAGGAGATTAAAGACTTTTTGAAGAAGTACAACTTTAAAAAAATTACTGAAGAAAAAAATACACCCAAAGATTTAAAAAAAAAAATTGAGACATTTTATAGCAAATTATATCAAAGAAGAGAAGCTACAATAGAGGAGATTAAAGACTTTTTGAAGAAGTACAACTTTAAAAAAATTACTGAAGAAAAACAAAATTTAAATGATCAAATAACAACGTGTGAAATTATAGAAGCATTACAAAAACAAAAACAAAAAAAGGAAAACACCAGGTCCAGGTGGATTACCGGCAAAAATACCAGAATCCAGAATGAAGAACTTATGACATTGATACATAAACCAAATTCAGATGAGAAAGAAATTAAAAATTATAGACCAATTTCACTATTAAATGTAGATTATAAAATTTATGCTTTTTTTTTAGCTAAAAGACTGGAAAAAAACTGATACAGATAATTCATCAAGATCAAGCAGGATTTTTACCAAAAAGACAACTCAGAAACAATGTTAGAACAATCCTGAATGTAATTGAATATTTTGAAACACACCCAGAAAAACAAATGACTGATCTTTCTTGATGCTGAAAAAGCATTTGACAATGTCAGTTGGTGTTTTATGTTGGAGCAATTGGCATACTCACAATGTGGTGAAGAATTTTTTACAATGGTTAAAGCAATATAGAAGAAGAAGATATTGGATTTATACCCCGCCCTTCATTACCCAAGGAAGTCTCAGAGCAGCTTACAAACTCCTTTCCCTTCCCCTCCCCACAACAGACACCCTGTGAGGTAGGTGGGGCTGAGAGAGCTCTGACAGAAACTGCTCTTTTTCAAGAACAGCTGTGCCGGAACTATGGCTTGCCCAAGGTCATCCAGCAGCTGCAAGTGGAGGAGTGGGGAATCAAACCCGGTTTCCCCAGATTAGAGTCCACACACCTAACCACTACACCAAACTGGCTCTCCACCACTACACCAAACAACAACCAAACAACCACTACACCAAACAACATGCAAAGATTCTTATTAATGGAGATTTATTACAAAGTGCTGAAATACAAAAAGGGACTAGACAAGATTGCCCACTGTCACCATTACTGTTCATGTTTGTCTTGGAAATCCTGAATGACACTATAAGAGGACTTAAAGTAAGAGGAAACTAATAAAAATTACAAGCGTTTGCAGATGACCTGGTATTTATTTTAGAAAACCCATTGGATTCAATTACACAATTATTAACAACATTACAGAAATATGGTCAAGTTGAGGGATTGAAGATCAACTTGACTAAAATCAAAAATGTTAACGAAAGCAGAGTTAGTTTGCAAACAGCCATTTTTTGGTCCCGGTCACATGGGCCGGAAAATGTGGGGGGGGGAAGTGTGGCTGTTTGCCCTGGAGCAATGTAACGCGTGGCAGCCTGATCACATGTCCTGTCGAGGTCCCGTAGTTAGACCGTTAGGTGCTGATCACATGGCTATCCTGCAGCATGGCAAAGAAGTGGCGTGGCGCGATCACACTGGCAATCACTAGGCGCTGCTTCCGTGGCAAACGGGAATTTTTTTCACACCGAAGTTTGCGCATGCGCATGATCATTTGTGCGCATCCTGTGGAGACTTACAAAATAAATCCAGTGTGCGACGGGACATGGATGGGCGCCAGATGCCAAGAGATTCAAGCGGAAACGCGATCAGACGCCCACCCTTGCCCCACGTTTTCTGGAAACTAGTACATCGTATGGTAGTTTTTACTCCGTATCCTCGGCGAGAAGCCATGGTTTAGCCAGGGATGTACTATGCTTCCCAGATGTTGCGGTGTGATCACGCACCGAAAATCCGCCTATCATCCGTGTCTTTAGCGCGGCAACTTCTCCGTGTGAATGGGACCTTTAAAAAAACGACAGGCAGCAAGCAAAAGTTTTAAACTTTACTTACTGAGAAAACAGAGAGAATGCCAGAGTCCCCACAAACCCATGTTAAAGCATGCAAGCAGGAAATCCATTCTCCCACCCCAGTTTCCATCCTTTTAAAAAAATAAATAAAGAGTGCAAAAACAGAGAATGCCCTTCTGAGTAAAAAGCATCGTTCAAAAGCGAAACGTTTCTCCAGGCACGTATGCAGGGTTCTTTTTGTAGCAGGAACTTCCTTTGCATATTAGGCAACACACCCTAATCCTCCAAGAGCTTACAGTAGCCCCTGTAAGAAGAGCTCTGTAAGCTCTTGGAGGATTGTCTACATTAGGGGTGTGTCACCTAATCAATGTTCCCTCTAAGCTGAGTTAGTGTGAGCTAGCTCACAGTTGACCGTTCTCTCATGTTGACCGTTCGGCGGCTTCTGCAGCTACAGCTTCAGTGTAGGCCACAGCTTACGTGAATGCCGGCTTGGTGAACAGCCACTGCTGTAATCTTTCATCCCGTAGACTGCATACCAATTGGTCGAAAAGCGCCACCTCTAAGTTGGGAAAGTTGCACATCTGGGCAGCCTTCTGTAGTGCCGCGAAGTAGTTGGCAATGGCTTCACATGCGGCCTGATCACGCTTATAAAAAGCATGCCGGTAGGCGATCTGTGACGGCTGAGGTGAAAAGTGATTTTTCAGCTTAGTTTTGATGCTATCCAGGGTCACCGTCAGGATGTCATCTGGGGCCACAAGGGACTGTGCTACATCGAAAACAGCCCTTCCACAAGAGCTGAGGAGTGCTGCCATTTTTGTAGCCTCATCCTCGATCTTGTTGGCTCGTAGATGGAACTCGAACCGAGTGATGTACGAGTCCCAATCCTCCAACCCCGGCTCGAAGGCATCAAACTTTGTGTTGATGGCCATCACGGGTCTCGGTGTAGCCAGTGGAGCGACTGGCATGGTCGTTGGATGTGCTGGGTGTTGGTCATCTTCCCTCGGTCCCTCAGGAAGCTCTCGATTGACAGCCATTGTGGCGTTGGTTCAGCGGGGCTGCCTACCCGCTCAGCATCCCATCCTCATCGCCAGTGAAGTAAATCAGACTCAGGCAGCTATTAACCAAGTGATTTCAACTTTATTAACAAGAATGATCCAACACAAGAGCACATAGAAGCCTGAGCTCCTTTTAAACATCCCAGGCCATGAAGGCCACGCCCAGTGAAACGGTAAGAACCAATCATATTTACAGGATAACAACCAATGGGATTTGTTCCCTCCAAGTATTCTGCTTTGCTTGGATTGGTCTGCTGTTGGGAGCAGCCAATGGGAATGTGCAGTTCAGGATACCATAGTCTCTATGAGCCTCAGACTGAAGCTCAGCATGCAAGTCCATAGTCCCATACATAACACAGACTTTTTAAAAAAAAAACTGGGTCACCACATAGGAACACGTGGAAAGGCTTCCCCTCCCCCCAACAGCTTCTATGCTTGCCTGGAAATCTCCCAGGGGCTTTTGAAATCTGAAACCCCCTCCTTTTTCTTTGCAGGAAATTTTTTTTGCAAGGGAGTAGGCTAGCCACCTGTCCTCAAAGCAGGCAGGAGACACACACCCTGTCCCCCAAAAGCACCACACACATAGGGCATGAAATCCTCTTTCAGGCAGGAAATTAAAGTCAGAAGGAGGTCAGAAGAAAGAAGAGAAAAGAAGAAAAAGGGAGGCCTGGGTGACCTCTCTGAAAAGCCCCCCCCCAGGTGGCAGGAGTGTTTTGGGGAGGCTGCAGGTCAGTTTTTGCCATTTTCCCCAATACCAATCTTGCAAGGTAGGACAGGGCGATCATCACTTTGGGGTTTTTTTGCCCAACGTGTGTGTGGGGGGGTGGCCCTCCATCATCACAGGGAATATCCCTAGCAACATTTAAATGCACCAATTAGCATGGGACCTGCTCTTTAAAAATGGGAGAGGCACCATCCTTCCCCCAGCTGGCTTGCACGTGTTGCTTATGGTTTTCCCGCACCATGGAAAACACACCTGTGACAGCTGCTGCTGATCCTCTGGTTCCTGGAGCACTGATAAAGGGTATGAAGATGCACACATAGTTCAGACTCGGAAAAAGAGAATGACTGGCCAGTCATTGCAAAGCGGCTTTTTGCACAAACGTTGTGGAAGGATAAGGATGTTGGGAGTGGTATCCCCGAAAAGAGCCAAAGTGTGAGGATGGAGAGAGAGGTGTTTCCCCAAACAATCAGCAGCAGCCTCTGAATACCTTCGAGCTGAACATAACATAAAACATAAGAGAAACCAATGTTGGATCAGGCCAATGGCCCATCCAGTCCTACATGCTGTCACACAGTGAAAAATACCAGGTGCCATCAGGAGGTCCAGCACTGGGGCCAGGACACTAGTACTGCAGCCTCAAGCCAGTAAATCAACAGAATCACACTGAAGAAAATATACTGACTGCAACAATAAAATAACTAGAATAAATACAAAGGATATATAAAAATACATTAAAATAAAGTAACAACAAATAAATATTACATAAAATATAGGTCAGCAAATCGGCTTAGAGCTAAAACGTGATTTAGCGGGCTTTTCGAATACAGCAGCAAGCGATACAGAATTTGGCAACAGCTTTAGAAGTAGACTGATTTTCATCTGACAGCAAATAGTTTATATAATCAGATTCCATCATATCAGGATTTAGTTTTACAATAGGCTCAAGATATTTGGAACTTACCTCCTTGTACCAGGGACACCTGAGGCTCATATGCGAGATAGTTTCAACTTCCCCTAAGCTGCATTTGCAAAGCCTTTGTGCAAATATAATATAATAGTTAAACAGCATAGGGGACAACAGACATCCCTGTCTGACTCTTTTGTAGGTACTAACTGGTTCTGACAGACTTCCCCTCCCATTGTATCTGACTCTTAATTGCGAGTGGTCGTAAAGCACTCTGATAAGTAAAAGGAGCCTTTTATCTAAGGAAGAAGCTTCCAGTTTGGCCCATAACCAATTTCTGCAAATAGAATCAAAAGCCGCCTTGAGGTCAATAAAGGCAGCAAATAACGAGACAGGGCCTTTTGCGGCATATTTTTCAATGAGATGTTGTATAGTGAGGCAGTGATCAAGGGTAGATCTATGCTCTCTGAAACCTGCCTGCTCTCAAGCAATCACATTCTCCAGCACCAGCCAGGAAGTGAATTTATCCAGGTAATGTTTGGCATATAATTTACTACAGATGCTTAATAAACTGATGGGACGGTAATTTGAGGGCTGATCTCTCCTTCCTTTTTTAAAAAGGGGAACCACTATAGATGTCCTCCAATCAGGTGGAATATGCCCAGTAGAATCAATTAACGTAAACAAAGAGGCAAGAAAAGGAGCCCACCAGTCAATATTCTCTTTAAAGCATTCAGGAGGTATAGCGTCAAGGCCAGGTGCCTTGCCCTTTTTGAGTTGATTCATGTGAGACTTGATTTCATTGGCGGAAACTGGTGGCCACTCTGCCAGTCCCTCAAAATCAACCGGTAAAACCGGAGAAGGGGGCATATCATTATAAAGGGAATGAAAAAAAGAGACCCACTTATCAGGGGAAATTGGCGGATCTAAATGGTGTGATACGGTTTTCATGTTTTCAACAATCTTCCTCCAAAATTTAGCTGAATTTTTCTGCTTCGCAGCACAAATTAGCTCTGACCAAAGCAGTTTAGTATAATTCTTCTTTTTCATAGCAATTAACTGTTAGTATGCCTTTTTCTGGGACTGAAGGTTTAGTTGAATTTCGATTCTCTGCTGATTACTAGCCTTTTTAAAGGAATAGTAAAGGTTTATTAGGCATTTTTTCACCCCATGACATTCGCTATCAAACCATAGTTTAGATTTTTTATGGGAGGATGAATGTTGACCTTTAACATGGAGTAAAATATCCCTCAATTCTTGAAAAAGATTGTTGTAAAATATAAGCGGGACTGATGGAGGACTAAGGTTCTGACAAGCAGCAATAAAGGCTTGGAGATCCTGTATAGTGAACACTTCCCTAACTCT